GGTTCCCGCGCGCGCCTCTCGCTCCACACCTCCCCGCAAGCAGAGGGAGGCAGCTCCAGCCTCAGCCAGCCCAGAGAGGGACTCCCACAGTGCCGTGGCGGGCTGAAGGGCTCCTCAAGCGCAGTCAGAGTGAACACCGAAGCTAAGGAGGCTGAGAGCGAGGGCTGCTAGCACGTTGCCACCTCTCACTACTCAGAATAGCATGCAACTTGAAACTGATGAGTTGTTTACTTCTGGAATTTTCTGTTTAATATTTTCGGAACTTGGATTTGAAATCTCAGAAGGTGAAACCTCAGCTAATGGGGGGAGCTACTGTATGTGACATTCTGGAAAAGGTAAAACTATGGGGACAGTGAATATGATTCATGGTTGCCAGGGGCTAGTAGGAAGGAAGAATACATAGGCGAAGCACCAAAGATGTTTAGGGCAGTGAAACAATTCTGTATGACACTGTAATGGCAGACACAGGGCATTGTCCATATGTCAAAACCCAGACAACGTACGACACCAACAGTAAATCCACCATGGACCTTGGTTGGTGCAGGTGTGTCAGTTGTAACAAATGCATCACTCTGTTGGGGATGTGGATAGTTGGGGATGCTGTGTAAGTGTGGGGAGAGGGGTGTATGGGAACTCAGTTTTGCTGTGAACCCAAACTGTTCTAAAAATTAGTCTGTTAAAAGAAATTTTTAAAAACGTGGTAAGTGACTTGGTGAGATAACAGGACTCTAAGCCCAAGTGCTCCACAGAGGTTACAGCTCTCTTTTGAACCCACACCAGCCCTGCGGCCACAGGGTAAGCAGAAGCAATGGGGTAAGACCACAGCACTAGATACAGTACTTCACTATGTGGAAAATTATTTCTAACCCAGGTGCGGTGGCTCAGGCCTGTAATCCCAACACTTTGGGAGGCCAGACGGGTAGCTTGCTTGAGCTCAGGAGTCTGAGACCAGCCTGGGCAACATGGCGAAACCCTGTCTCTACCAAAAATATAAAAATTAGCTGGGCGTTGTGGCATGCACCTGTGGTCCCAGGTACTCGGGAGGTTGAGGTGGGAAGATTGCTGGACCCGGGGAACTTGAGGCTGCAGTGAGCTGTGACCACACCACTGCACTCCAGCCTGAATAACAGACCTTGACTCTGTCTCAAATAAATAAATTAATTAATTTAAAAAGAAAATGGTGAGCTGGGTGCAGTGGCTCACGCCTGTAATCCCAGCACTTTGGGAGGCTGAGGCAGGAGGATCAGGTAAGGAGTTCAAGACCAGCCTGGCCAACATGATGAAACCCAGTCTCCATTAAAAATACAAAAATTAGCTGGGCTTGGTGGCGGGTGCCTGTAAGCGTAGCTACTTGGGAGGCTGAGGCAGAAGAATCGTTTGAACCTGGGAGGCGGAGGTTGCAGTGAGCTGAGATTGCGCCACTGCACTCCAGCCTGGGTGACGGTGCGAGACTGTATCTCAAAGAAGAAATAAAAAATAGAAAATGATACCTTGGACTCCAGGGAATTTTTCTTTGGAGTAAGTGAACTAGGATTTGGTATTTGCAACCCTAAAATTCCTTCCCAAAAGGGCTCCCGTGAGTGGGCTGCCTCTGATTATGTTTAAGAGGTGCCAAAATGAATTAAACATTGAGAATTATAAATTAGCAATTTAGAGGCTTTCAGCTCTAACCTATATGATTTTGGCTTTTAGTTTTTGATTATGAGCATTCTGTAGATGTCTAGTTAAGTTTGACGTGGAAGTCACACTGACAATCTTAGCCAGAAGCTTCAAACAGAAGAAGAAATATTTACCGAGGCTTCCGAGCAACAGGAGCTGTGACAGCCCGGCAGACCTCACGAAACTCCCTGAGCAAACAACTTTCAGCCTCAGTGGTCTTCAACTGAGCTCATGATCAGGCAGGAACTACAGTTGGAAAATTCATCTGTAAGACTTTAAATGTGTTTCCCATCCCAGGTAAGTAACAATGGTTGGATGATGCAGACTTACTTCCCCGGGGATGTCCCACTGCAGCCTGGTGGGGTACGGAATGTTCGGATTGGTGTCGCCTTTGCAGTGCCCATCCTCTGCATAGCCCAATTGGAGGCTGTCAGTGGACATGACGTACTGTCAAAAATAGAACAAAATTATTAAAACTAACAGTGGTACATAAAACATATTAATCTGTAGCATGAACAGAGATGTTACAAAGTTTGAACCACGGCTGTTAACACTTCCAGTATTCTCAGCACCTAATGAGGTGGATCTGATCTCCATGTCAGATGTGACAAAGAGGACAGATGAGGGCTAATGGCTTGCTTAAGTTCGTGACACTCTCCTTTCACTGGCAAGTAAACTTAAGCCAATTTATTCAACACTATTTACAGGGCACCTACTCTGGGTTGGAACCACTGTAGCACCAGTGGCATCCAAGCACTGGTGACAGTGCAGATAAGAACTGTGTTTTGTGAACAAAACAGACAGGAATTCTTGTCCTTTCTTAAAAAGTGAAATATACCTGTATGACCCAGCAATTCCACTCCTAGGTATATACTCAGTGAAATGAAATGAAAATAGATGTTCACACAAAAATTTGTACAGAATGTTCATAGCAGCATTATTCATAATAGCCGAAGAGTGGCAAGAACACAAATGCCCATCAACTGATGAAGAGATAAACTAAGTGTGGTAAATCCATACAATGGGATATTATCCAGCCCTAGAAAGGAATGAAGCTCAGGTACATGTTACAATGTGACGAACCTTGAAAACATTATGCTGGGTGAAAAGAAGCAGGCAGGCGCGGTGCCTCACTTATGTAATCCCAGCACTTTGGGAGGCCAAGGTGGGAGGATTGCTGGAGGCCAGGGGTTCCAGACCAGCTGGGAAACATAGTGAGATCTTATCTCTACAAAAAATTTAAAAAATTAGCCAGGTGTGGTGGCACATGGCTGTAGCCCCAGTTACTGAGGAGGCTGAGGTGGGAAGATCACTTGAGCCCAGGAGGTCATGGTTTCAGTGAACCATGACTGTGCCACTGCACTCCAGCCTGGGCGACAGAGCAAGACCCTGTCTCTAAAAAAGAAAGAAAGCAAAAGAAAAGAAAGAAGAAGCCAGACATAGAAGAGCACATATTGTATGGACATCGATATAAGATGTCCAAAATAGGCACATACATACAGACAGAAAGCAGATTAGTAGTTATCGGGAACCTGCGGGAGAAAGGAACGAGGAGTTTCTTTTGGAGGTGATGCAAATATTACAAAATTAGGCTGGGCTCCATGGCTCACGACTGTAATCCCAGCGCTTTGGGAGGCCAATGCAGGCAGACCACTTTAGGTCAGGAGTTCAAGACCAACCTGGCCAAAAAAGGGAAACCCCGCCTCTACCAAAAATACAAAAATTAGGTGGGTATGGTGATGCACGCCTGTAATCCCAGCTACTCGGGAGGCTAAGTAGTGATTGTTGCACAAGCACTTTGTGAATACACTAAAAACCACTGAATTGTACACTTTTAAAGGGTAGATTTTAAGGTATGTGACTCATACCTCAACTAAAAAACTTAGGTTTTTTAAAAAGAGGAATCCCTGTGCTCAGGAAGCTTACATTCTAGTGAGGGAGGTAAAAACACCACCACAAGGTCGGAGTAACTGTCGGCTGGCGAGGGGGCAGGGCGCGTGGAAGGTGCCGCTAATATGTGAGGGTCACGATCCACGCTGACCTGAGCCAGCGAAGGAACAGACTTGATCAAGTTCCACCTGCTCTGGGTCAGAGCTCCAGGAGAGCCTGACACAGAAACATCAGAAATAAATCAAGAGCAAGACCGGGTGCGGTGGCTCATGTGTGTAATCCCAGCACTTTGGAAGGCCAAGGCAGGCAGATTGTTTGAAGCCAGGAGTTCGAGATCAGCCTGGGCAATGTGGCAAAACTCCGTCTCTACAAAAAATACAAAAATTAGCTGGGCGTGGTGGCGCACACCTGTGGTCCCAGCTACTCGGAAGGCTGAGTTGGGAAAATCACTTGAACCCAGGAGTTGGAGGTTGCAGTGAGCTGAGATTGCGCCACTGCTCTCCAGCCTGGGCAGCAAAGCAAGACCCTGTCTCAAAAAATAAAAAACAAAAACAGAACAAGAACAGACAGACTCAAGTTTGACTAGATCTGCACTGGGCCTACACACAAGACTAGGTCAGTCCCCATCTGTGTCTGGATCACATGAGCCCCCAGCCAGGGGCCCCTGGAGTCAGGCCATCCTGTCTGCTGGACGCCAACAGCTAAACACCACTACTTCTATGTGGCCACCCTGGTCTAAGACAAAATCCCTTTATCCTCATCTGGAGAACTTTAAAAAACAAGCCTGACCTGTAAATATCCAGTAGATTTCTCTACTTGATAAATGTACCCTGTGTGATCCAGCTGCCTATGGTCCCGATTCCAGCCTGGGTGACAGAGCAAGACTCCATCTCAAAAAAAAAAAAAAAAGTCAAGATTCAAAACATTCACAGAAGTTTAAAGAAATAAGAAGGTCATACATTATGATGTCTTCACAAGTTTACTACTAATTTTTTTTTTTTTTTTTTTT